AAAAAAAAGTTTTTTAAGCAAGTTTACCACGTTTCTATTACATTAAATGTTCAAAATAATCACCATGGTTACTTACACATAAATGCATTCGTTCAATCCATTTATCAAAAGTTTTTCTATACTCTTCTCTTTTCAATGACTTCATAAATTTGATCACAGCTTCATGGATCGATTCTGAATCATCTTGATCGCCTATATTTTGTTTGATTAAATCGAATAACCAAAAATCGCATGGTGACAGATCTGGAGAATTAGGTGGATGTGACATTACTGTTACACCTTCCGACTGAAGGTAATTGATAACAGTTTGATGAATATGTGGTTTTCCATTATCATGATGCAGTTTAATTGATTGAATACCTAAGGATGGCTGTTGTTTCTTAACTTCATCAATAACTGGTTGCAAACAATTATTAATATAATAATCATGATCCATTGTCTGTCCACGTCTAACAGAATGAATCAAAACTGGACCAGTCGACTTGAAAAAAATACACAGGAGAGGTCTTGGAGCAAAACGATTACGTCGAGCCACTGTTGGAGGAGGATCTCCACGGGCTACCAAAGCAGCATTTGATGATTTTCTACCGATTTGCTTGTGAAAAAAACCATGATTCATCATCTGTCACTACATCACATAATCTCCAAACACCTTGTTCAAATTTTAATAAGTTTTCTTGGCATACTCGTACTCGTTCAGCCTTTTGGAAATTTGTCAAATGTTTAGGAACATAACGTGCAGTAACTTTTTTCAACCGGGTGTGTGGGTGTGGGTGTGGGTGGGGGTGGGGTGTGAGTGAGGATGTGGGTGTGGGTGTGGGTGTGGGTGTGGGGTGTCGGTATGGGTATCTAGCTGCCGTTTACCCACATCCACACTCACACGCACACCCACACCCTCTTGATCGGTATATGTTTTCTTTTCTGTTTTTTTTTCTTTTATTTCTTTGCCACATATTGTTCTTCACGATGAAGCTTCTTTTGTTTTTAAGTGAAGCAAATAATTTCTACATATGACGACTATGCGAAGGAGATAGGTAAACATATTGTTTCAGGAGCTCTAACATTATGATTTCAAATAATATCAACAAATTTTATACAAAATTAGAGTGCGTCGATAATGAGGCTTATCACTACTTAATAGTAAGGATTACAGAAACTTTTCAATATTGAATTGAGGACACAGAAATAATTTACTCTAGATCAGCTGTGAAAAAATTCTTTCATGAAGCAGATAAATCTATGTCCGATACAAGATGATGAGTTTAAGGATTTGATAAATTTTTATCAACATTAATCATTTTATTAGTTAACACAACTTGTAAATATTATTTAAAATACAAGCTGTTATCGCAATTTTGGTCGGATTAAAATATGAAACAGAACGTATAGTTGCCGTTGCTAGTCATAGAAAAATTGTTTAATTCGTTCTATTTTAGGATGCCTTTATTCACTATCATCATACTTAATTCTTGACAAATGTAATAAGAAACTACTTCATGTTTCGAAACGAAATGTTATTCATTATACGGCCTTTGATCATACATCACCAACGTCTGTATGGGCTGTGATAGTCTCTCGTCAGTGTTTGTCACAGTCTCCAGGAGAATGGATCCGAATTTCTATATCTATACTTCAACATTTCTTTTAGATTGTGTTTCACAATAATTCAGGCTTCATCGTGTCTTGATAATGTGAATCGAACTCGAAAGTTGGTTATTGTTGGCTCGTATAATTCACTTGAGAAAGTAAAATTTGATAGCATTGCATAAAAATCAGTTTCAGCAGAGATTAATCGTTTTCTATAGAAGGAAAATTTAACCAATGATCTTATTTTCCGAAACATAATTCATATAACTCTTTCAATAAACCTGCGAGAAAAATCCAATAGATTCTTGTTACATTATCATCAATTGAATGTCCGTTTTCTCAAAGCTGCTTTTTAACAAGATCGGATTATTGAAATTCAGCACAAGTTAATATATGCATTTTGACATCTTTTGAAATTTAATAATACATTTACTTAAATATTAATACATAATTTTCGCTTTAAACAACTTTAGATATAGGTGTTTGTTTGCAAAATATAAACGTTTTATTACTATCTAAGACAGTCATAATAAGTCTACCTTGGATTAACTCTAAGGAATTATGAAACCCGGTATATCAAAATAGTTTCTCCCTATTCATTCACTAAAGAGGAAGATGATGAATTTTATTTAAAGGCTATATTCTCCTCAATAAATATTACATTAAAAAAGCTTTGATTCTAGTTCTCCGACAGAGGACGCTATTAACTAGCAACAACATCGCTTTCTTGTTTTGTTTAAGTTGAATATTGAAAATGCTGGTCATTTCGATCTCATTAATAATGTTTCCTTTAATATATTTCTAAAATTAAATAAAAGAAAAAATTATAAATGAAGTCTCTACTGTAACAACAGTCAATGTGATGTCTTGTCATTTGTGAACTGTGGTTGTTGGGCACAATACACATACTCATACAACATGTTTTGTTGTCCGATTGTTATTTAACCAGCATGACTTTTTCTTCGTCGTTAATTTTTGATTTTTAGCATCATTTTAATTATTATTTCAGCATAGTCAATAATAATTCTTTTAAAATGGCTGCAACACTTGTTAAGCCACCAAATTCAACTTATACATTTTCAAGCCAACCTAAAGCAGTTCAACAACAACAAGGACAACGACAAAAATTTCGACAACCACTTGCTAATCCATCGTAAGTTTAATATTAATTGAATATCTTCTTTTTATTTCTATTAAATATTTATTTAATAAAGAGATGAAACAAATGTATATGGAAATTTAATGTATGATCGTCGTGTTATTCGTGGTAACACTTATGCTCTTCATACACTTCCCGCAGTGAGTTATTTTAATTGTAAAAAAAGAAATTTTATTTTTCAATATAAATATAATAATCTATTCGATAGCATGCACAACCAGATCCAATTGAAGTTCAACGTCAACAAGAAGCTAAACGACGTGCTTTAGCAAGACGTAAGGCTCGAGAACAAATTCGAACGAGAACACCTGATCCTGTACATAATAGAAAAAATATTGATGTACAAACAGAACTTTATCTTGAAGAACTCAGGTGAAGATTTTCAAAAGATTTTATATTTCATCTTTAAAATTTTTATATACAAATTTTATATTGAAATATCATTTCTATTTTCTTAGTACTTGTTACAAAAATTAAATTTGAGCAAAATTTTATCCTATTTATTTCCAATATAACTTTCATTTGATCTCAGAATGAATAAATTCTTTCCACTGAATTTTTCAAGATATATTTAGAAATATATTGTCCTATGAAATAGAAAATTTTCATATACATCTGTCTTTGACATAATCATTCTTTTTGAAATAATTACATAAAATGTCAAATCTAGAACATATTTAATGTAATCATATAACAGATTTTTTAGATTACTGTTTCAAACAGAAACAAAGCGGATTTCTTCATTTAGCTAATCAACTTTTTATCTTGTTTGTTATCTGACCATTGAGAATTTCTCTCAAATAAGAAAAAAAAAGAAATTAATAAGTTTTTGAACTATTTAATAATTTTCAAGTATATATGATATCAATCAGAATAAATTTAATGCACTTTATCAAACGTCGCTTCTTTTTTTTTTTACGTAAAATATATCAGAAAATAATATGAAAAAAGAAGGTTGATCATTCTTGCCTTTCTTAACTCGTCATTTATCTTTATACAAAAGAGTTCAAGAAACTTTATCTGTACACTTTAAAATGTTTTTTATTTACTAATAAAACTTAATTCTCAAGATCTTTTGTCGATTATAAGATGTTTCCGTATAACATGTATCTATCATCTAAAACAATCAAAGAAGCATTTTGATACATCCAAAGATTATGTCTATCTACTCCCTTGACTAAGATAAATACTTTTAAAAGTTTGAGTCCATGATCTACTGGCGAAGAGTCATGCTCGTTTTCTTGAAAATTTATTGAAAACGACTCATTTCCGAAAAAAAAATCAAAATGAAGATTTTCAAATTGAAAATTTCAACGAAAACGCACGTGTCTTTCTTAAGATATTCAACTTTCCAAAAAAAACAACTGTTTACGATAAGCAGACACACCAATGTGGTCTAATTGAAAATCGAATATCTCGAGAAAGACATGGGTGTGATTCTCGTTGAAACTGTCTGGACTATCTAATGACTATTAAATCTATCTATAGGTGAAATTTCGGGCTAAAAGTTTTCGTTTTGGGTCGTTCGTAAATGATTGATTAGAAATAAAAACGTTCAGTAAAACGATCATAACTCTTTACCAGTAGGCCATGGACCCGAAGTCTTAAAGGTTTTTTTATATTTCGATTAGTTCCCTATTAAATACGAAAACAAATATACCCGCAAACAATATAATTACGAATGAATTCGTTTATCTATTGAGAACCATCGAACTCCTAATGATTCTTCATGCTAATTACGATCAGTCTTGATCCGTATCTATTCTTAGATTTTCTCTAATGCAAAACATAAGTCTCAAAATCAGTTGAAATTGGTCGAAAATAATTGAAAACTCGCAAATTTTCGACTCATTTCGAAACCTTTATTTTGTATTTCATGAATTGCGACAACAACTTCTAATCCACAGAAATTACATTCTTAGTAAAGAAAAAAAAGTCATTTTTGACTTTATGTTTTAAGAGTTGGTGTATTCCTACAAAAGAATGTTATAATCTTATTGTATTGAATATTTTTTTTTAAATAATTTCTTTGAATATAGTGATCGAATCGAAGAAGCTGATGTTGATGTTCAAACAGATGCTTTTCTTGATCGACCACCATCACCTCTATTTATTCCACAATCAACTGGCAAAGATATATCTACTCAAATTGAAGCAGGCGATGTAAATATATTTTCGTATTTTTTTTTTTTTACTTCTTCGAAATTTAATTTTTAAAAATATTTTAGTTATTTGATTTTGATATTGAAGTTAAACCAATTGTTGAAACATTAGTTGGTAAAACAATTGAACAAGCATTAATTGAAGTTGCTGAAGAAGAAGAATTAGCTGAAATTCGTGAACAACAACGAGAATATGAAGAAATACGTAATGCTGAATTAATTGAATTACAACGATTAGAAGAACAAGAAAGACGTTTAAGAGCTGAAAAAGATCGTCGAATGAAACAAGCACAAGAAGCAGTTCGATCAGAACAAGATGTTGCACAAAAAATAGCTGCTAGAGCTTTTGCTAAAGCTTATTTACAAGATCTTGTACCAAGTGTATTTAACAACTTAAGAGAAAATGGATACTTTTATGATCCTGTTGAACATGGTATTTTTTTTTCATAGAACAAGACATTTTTTTTTATTAAAAAAAAAAATTTTTTCTAGAAATTGAAACATCATTTATGCCATGGTTAATGGATAGAACAATGACACAAGTTAATCAATTAGTTCTTGGACGAACTATTCTTGATTCGATTATTCGAGATGTTGTTAATCAACGAATCGATAATTATGAAAAATTAGCCGAAGCACTTATACAAGTAAAAAGTTTATTTTTATTTATTTTAAAAAGAATAATATTTATTTTTAATTAAAAGGTAGTTGAAG